AGAGGGGACAAGTTGTTAAATAATGTATGTGTAATATTACTAAATGTAGTTTTGTAACGAATGTATACGCCACATATAGAAACAATTACACTAAAATCCCTGTTATCTAGCATTTGAGTAACCGGAACACGCTATTAACTGGAATTTCCAGCTGGCTGGCCAGACGCAGGCTCGGGGGTGGGAAGCTCACACATCGCTGCCAACCACCCCGTGCTGCTGCTGCTCCACATGTGGCTGCCTTGGGTAAAACTGCTGGCCTCGGGTAACCAGCATTTTAGATACCTGGCACCCCCCATTCCCTCCACTCATGCTGGATAACAGGGATTTGACTAATTGGGATGTGAAGTAAACAATTACTTTTTTAGAGTAGAAATTAATACTTCATGAATAAACTAAAAATAGAAATATGGGATTGTTCCCTGCACCAAATTTTCTAGTATTTTTACTTGTATAATTACATTTTCTTTACTTAATGGTTTTTTGGTAGATCCATTTGGAGAGGATCCATTTAAAGAAAGTGACCCATTTCGTAGTTCAGCCCCTGATGATTTTTTTAAGAAACAGGTGAAGAGTGATCCATTTACATCTGATCCGTTCACAAAAAATCCCACAACGCTCTCGAAGGTAGGCATTTTTTTTAAGTCTGCGCATAATAAACTTTCAGTACTCTGAGGCTAATATGTTGTCTAAAAGACTTAACAAAAGTCCCACGCAGCATTCTCTTAAGTCCTATATTAGGTGACAGGCACAGCTTCTCTCCTTATATTGTGTGTGCATTTGTTTCCCAAGTGATCTCTTCAGTTCCTTCCTACTTACTTATAGGGCAGCATTTGCCAACTTTAGTGTCTTAGCATCACACATAGAATAAGTGGTCAGATTTTTAGAGTGCACAAAAGTACCTCCAGCTACCATTGACTTAAAGATAAATTGTGTGTGCATGCTACCTCTGAAAATTAAGCCATTTTCATTTAAGACTGTAGGTGAATTGAGTGCCTAACATTGGACACTCATGTTTGAACATTTTGACCATAGAAGCTGTAGGTTCTCTGTTTTTTTGCATTGGAGAGTAGTATCAGCTTTATTTCACTGTGAGGTCCCCTGCTCTAGAATCTCATATGCTCATTCAAATACTTGGCTTTGTCTGCAACCCATAAGTTTTCTTTTTTTTTTCCCAAGAACTGTATGCACTAATAGCATGGTCTTATCCCATAAGACTATTTTTAAATACTTGGTCAATTCATCCCGCTGTAAATCTATGAAGAATAGCAGATTTACACAAGAGATTTATTTGTCCTAATTTGACAGTTTTTGAAT